CTACACCGCCAATCACTTCGCGGAGGAAGACAGGGTAAGGATCAAGCTGGGCGTAGGGGAAGACGAAGAGTCCTGCATGGGGAAAATGCGCGCAGCAAGAAGGGAAGATGGCGCGAGGATGCAAAGCAAGAAACGGGGATGCGAGACGGGCAAAGAAATCGGAGCTTGAGCGCGCACACAAAATTCAAAAAAGAATCCCAACCGCACCCGTTTCTTGATTTTCATACCGCGGCCGCTATTCGCCCGCGGGAGTTATTAACCAAACAAAATGAAAAAGGCCGTTTCAAAAAGAAAACAAAAGCAAAAAGAAGAAAAAACCCCTTTTTATCTGCGTCCGTACTTCGGGGCTTCTGCGGGGTTTTTCATCAAGGATACGGCAAGCCGCGCGGTACGGATCTGAGCTTATCACGTTTGTGATATGCAGGGGGTTCCGAAAAATTAGCAGTCTCCCGACTGCTGACGTCATCATATCTTGGATGATCGGGCGGCCTCTTCATCGTCAGCTGGCCCGATCATCCTCCTAATCTACGTGGATGCATCCTGCATCCTCCATCGCCTCCTCCCATAGTATACATTCGGTCGGGCGGCCCCTTCATCGTCAGCTGGCCCGATCGGATTTTTTTATTTATTTTTTATTATTATTTTTTTTTATATATATATACAGCGCGTATTGTCGCGCGAGCTTTAGATCCGGAAAAGAAGAGGAAGAAGAAGAGAAGGAAAAGGAGAGGACGGGGGAGAGGTAGACGAAGGTGATCAGATGAAGTGATCTATGTCGGGATTGAGAAGGGGCGGAATAGGTGGAGGAAAGGCGGCCATTGCCGCAGGAGTCGTCGGCGCATCTTCCTCCCAGAAATGATGCTGGACGAATGAAGGGTAAAGGAAAGCCCCCAGCACATGAGAGAGGACCCGTGGCGCCAGATCCGCCACCGCTCGCACCACCTGCTTGCGCACCGATCGGGGCCCTCGACCCGTCATCACCACATGCGTCTCGGTATAGGGCCGCCGCTCCCGCTTCTACGCCGCGAAGACCAGGAAGTGGTACACCGCATTGGGACACTGCCCCGTCTCGTAGATGAGCGTCCCCGCCAATCGCGCCGCAATACACCCTTGAAAGGGGGGTGTCAGATATGGCTCCCACGCCGGATCAGGGCGCGGCGCCCCCGCGATGGCCTCGAGCCTAATGGTGGCGGGCTCCACCATGAAGTCCACCTCGGTCGGATGGACCGTCTGGCTCGGATGAACTACTAAGGTCAATGACCGGGGCACCCCGGGGTGGTTGGCGGGAACGGAGAGGTCCCGCGAGGACGGGGGGTCTCGATATGGGATCCGGAAATCCCATTCGGCTTCCTCCTCCGGCTGCTGCTGATGATGATGGCCCGGCTCCATCAAGATTGAGGTCGGGCACATGCGGAATGGGCGGCAATGGCACGGTAGTCTCCTTAACGAGCGTCACCGCGGGCGCGGGCTGAATCACCTCCTCGTCGCCGCCGATCCTGCTGCCTTGCGCTCCTGGCGACGGGTGGCGTCTCTTCCTCTTCGCCGTCTTCTTGGGGGTCTTTGGTGGCGCTGGTCGAGAGTACGATGAGGGAGGACGCAACGGCCTTTCCTCCGGGAAGTCTTCCAATCTCTCCGCGCGCTGCGCAATGTAATCCGGGATGACGACCGCGTTGTACATTCTCCGCGGGGCCGTCACCGTCCACAATTGCGGTTGGATCTCCTCTTCCTTGCTCGCGATCACTTGCGCGATGGAGAGGAGCTCGAGATGTATGAGCTCCAAAAATCCCGGATCGATCGTCTGGAGCTGGGCGAATGGGTACAGCGCGACCGCCCCTTCCTTCTCCGCTGGCTTGGGTCGCGTGATGACGTAGTAAACGACGAAGTGCTCACCAGTAGCATGGTCTTCGTGATCCATGAAGAACCGGAACATCCCCAGCGCCACCGACTTGTACAGCGCCCGGTGCAACTCCCACGCGTCTTCCTCGGCGAAGGGCAGCGGCTCCACGTCAGTTAGCTCCACCAAGTACTCCGAGAACTCGCGCATGGGGTAAGGGCCCGCCGTGAGCTGGTAGGGGAGGGTGGTGTAGGAGAAGAAAGGAGGCATTTAGTACGGGACAGGGGGAATAGCTTGGAGGTTGAGAGGAGCAGCGGGAGGGAGAAGCGTGGGGAACTGCGGGACCAGCGCAATCGGTCTGTCCTCGGCCCTACGCAGCAGCACTTCGTGGGCTGTGAATCGGTGCCCGCTCCGTCCTTGCACTCTGGCCACTGATCTGGCCGCTTCTACCACGTACTCGCGCACAAAGCTGCTCGCCGACTCCCGATTCTCCTGCGGGAGGATCGTCAAGTCTTCGATGAAGGTGGCGACGCTGTGCACGAAATTGGGTGCCACCTGGAGCGCACGGAACTCAATGAATACCCAGGTCGTCTCCCGGCCGGGCAACTGCGTCACGTCCACGTACACCCCCGCATACGTCAGCCGATCGCAAAGCAACGAGTATGCCGCCAAGTCAGCAACTCCGGGCGCTGGCACCTTCACCTGTTGGATGTCGTACCGCAACTGCCTCTCCTCGTTAAACCGATGCCACAACAGGCGATCTGCAAGCGGCGTTTGGAAGTGCTCGAGGGGCTCATGCTCCGGCTGGCGATGGTTCATCCTGCTCCCCGGCACTTTCAGCACCAATGGACGAGGCAGATCGAGAAGAGGAGGATGAAGAAGGAGAGGGTGATTTCGAAGGAGTGAGGGTCTGTAGGGGACCTAGCGATGGCTGGAAGGGCCGGAGCGCGGCAGCGTGCCGTGTTAGCGGTCGGGCCTGGGAGTTGTGACGGGGAATCAGCTTCACGGAGTGCTGTCCCTGTGCACCAACTTTCGTGACCTCGTAAATGCCTGTGTATCGCGGGTGGATCTTGGAGGAGCGCGCAGATTTCCGTACCTGTACCAAGTCCCCAACTTTATAGCGGGGCAGTGGTCCCGCCGACGCGTGTCGGTTCTCGTAGTCCCGGATCTGCCGTTGATGCGTCCGATCTACGGCCTGCTGTCGACGGCGGGCTAATGGGGGATAGGCCCTAGCCATCAAGTCCACGTAGTGGCGGGCCTTGTCTCGATTCTGGGCCCGTGTTGCTCTAACTTTCGTGCCTACTAAGGGGGACAATTGCACCCGAGGGACGCTATTGGTTCTCAGTTGAAAGGGGGACACCCCAGTACTACCGTGTGGGGTAGCCCGATAAACGGCTAAAATGTGATCGACAATGACCGGCCAAGGTCGGGTATCTCCCGCAGTGATATTCCGTCTAAGGGCCGTCTTAATCAGCCGGTTGGCATTCTTTACCAGGCCGTTGGCTTGAGGCCAATGCCCCGGCGAGTAGATAATCTTGACGTCCGCCCTGACTAGGTGACGTTCTACTTCGCCTTGAAATTCCAACCCATTATCCATGTGGACCTCTTCTATGTCTAGATGCATGCACAAAACCCGATTTACGTACCAGGCTACTTCCTGCGAATTCCGGTTGGTCATAGGGTATGCCTCGATCCATTTTAAAAAATGATCGACAACTACTAAAAGAACATTGAGCTCTCCCTAATCGACGGGCCCTCTTGGAACGTTGATGTCCGTCGTATCGATGCTAACCCTTTTAAAGGGGCGCTCTACACGAGTGGGCACCATCGTCCGAGGCATTTGTACCGGCGCCTTGTCCGCCGCGCAGGCTGGGCAATTCTGAACGATGTATTTCACATCTTCCCGAATTCCCGACCAGTACCATCCGTTCTTTTCGATGGCTTTTTTCGTGTACTTGATCGCAAAATGGACCGCATCCTCCTCATGAGCGGCTCGTGTCCAATCGAACCTAGCAAGAGGGTGTGGAACCGTCAACCAGCTAGACTCTCCGTCGTCATCGACCTTCCGTTTTTGTAACGTCGGGCCCTGCCAGCGATAGTCTTGCGCCCGCTCCGTGACTCTCCGCCATTCGGCTTCGGTAAGTTCTGACAGCGAGTCGCCTGACAGTCTTCATAGCAACAGAACGTCCGTCCAGGCCTCTGCCCGGCGGGCACTCGGCGCAAATCCGTCGGCTGTTCTAGCGTCCAGATACCGCTTCTCGGTAGGGACTTGGTCCGTTCTACAGTTGGGACAGATCCACGTCTTTTCACTTCGGTACCTAACGCACTGCCCGTGAGACTTGACCGTATGACCCTGACTACACTGTACCCATAGAAGAAAACTGGGCCCTCCCGGATGTGACCCTTCTTGGTCTGGGATCATAGGCAAGCTACAAAAGAAACAGGGACTTAGGTGTGTTTCAGAGGACGAGTTGGGGCTAGACGAGAGAGCGAGGGAGTGGGATGAGGGCTGAGAGATAGTGTCGGCCATCTCCGATGAAACCTCCATTCCGGACTCAGGCGTCGTCCTTACGCAACACGTGTAGCTCTCCGTAGTGCGGTTTCGTCGCCGCGACTTCTGGTCCCCACGGAATGAGTCGCTCGTTGGCGGGGCACTTGTTGGGCGGCAGAAGGCACGTTAATCCATCAGCGTTACCATGCTGCCGCGTGGCGCGATGGCGGATGTCAAAGTCATAGTCTTGCAAACGCACCGCCCACCTGCCCAGCGTCCCCGTGTAGTCCGTGTTGTTGCGTAGGGACAGCAGCGGCTGATGATCCGTTGCCAGCACGAATTTCTGGCCGTACAGATACGGTCGGAAGTGATGAATCCCCCACACCACCGCTTGGCATTCACCTTTGCATGCTTCGTAATTAGCCTGCGCCTGGCTCAGTGTCTTGGACGCATACTCAACGACGTGCTCCCTTCCGTCCTTCCCATGCTGAGTCAGCAATGTCAGAGCCTCCTTCAGTGCCTGAAACGCCGCTTCGCATTCCGGCGTCCAGATCAGCTGTTCCTCTTTCTTCAGCAGGTTCGTGAGGGGCTTCGCTATACCGGCGAACCCCTTGATGAAGCGTCGGTTATAGGATGACAGCCCTAGAAAAGCCCGAACCTGGGTGAGTGTGACCGGCGCCGGGGCGTCTTGAACTGCGGCCACCTTCCTCGGATCCGGTTTCAGTCCGTCGACCGTGACGATATACCCCAAGAATGAGATCTCCGACAAGAAGAATTCGCTTTTCTCCAAGGCCACTTTGAACCCGACATCTTTCAGTGCATGCAAAACCCACTCGATGTGTTCCACGTGGTACTCGTGTGTTTTTGAAAAGACCAAAATATCATCCATATACATGATCACGCAGAAATTGATCAGGGGCTGGGTTAGTCGGGTTTTGTTAACGAACTCAGCGAGGGCCATATTCATGGCCCGCTGAAACGTTGTCGGGGCGTTGCAAATTCCCATGGGACACCGGACCCATTGCCACGTGCCCTCGAATAGGACAAAAGCAGTTTTGGGTCGGTCCTCCGGTCGGACCACGACATGGTGAAAACCGTGTCGGATATCGAACTTGGAAAAGACTCGAGCGGCCCCGATAGCATCTGACAAATCATCGATTAGCGGCAAGGGATACACATCTTTGGTAGTGATGGCGTTCAATTTCCGGTAGTCGATACATACCCGGACCGAACCATTTCGTTTTGGCACAAGGACCACGGGAACAGACCACGGTCCCAGCGATGGTTCGACCCACCCCAACCGCTCGAATTCCCGTACCCTTTCCAAGGCCAGTTGCCTTTCTTTAAGGTAATATCGGTACGGTCGGCAGTGTATCGGAACGTGATTCCCGGTATCAATCGCATGTTGTATCAAAGGGGTTAGCCCTATGTCATGGTCCTGAATACTGTCGGCCTCAGGATAGGCCCGTATAACCGCCAGGAGGAGGCATCAGTATTCACCCAGAACACGGGTTGGTAACTGCACTTCCACGGTTCCCCCAGGAAGGGAGACCGTCGTCGTAACCGTGGGGACCGCCGCGCTGGCATCGGGCGAGGCCCCAAACAAAGAGTTGTCGGTTTTCGCCGAAAGGACAGTCGCAATGAGTTGACTGTCCGCCGGACTCATCGGCTCGCTTTCCATGTCACTGTCACCGTCCAGTTCGGGTTCGGCCGAGGGTTCTGCCGAAAAGGCCTGCGCTAGTTCCCTCGGTCCCCATCGATATTCTTTGGTCCGGGGTTGAAATGACACCCCCTCTTTTAAGAGTATCGCGGCTTTTTCATCCGTGAGTAGGGGTCATGGCGGTCGAAAAGATAAATCGCACAGCCCCCTTAGCTCGGTAAATCTTTCAGGTAGGGGGTCCGTCCTGAGATATAAGGGCGCAGAGGGTTCCGAAAAGTCAGCTATTCGGGACACCCTCAGCAGGGGTTCCCCCTGCACCACGAAAGACAACGCGTGCGACCAATTGGACTCGCTCCGAACTATTTCCAGTGGTTCTCGCCGCCAAGAACGGCGCCACCGATCCTGAACTTGGATCGGATATCGGTCGGGTACCTCAGTCTCGCCGGTTTCTGTCGAGGGTTCGTTTTCGTCTGGTGACAAGCGTTGGATCATGTTGATTTGATGGGCTTTCGAGGCGAGGCGAGGCGCCAGCTGGGTGCGCATGCGCACAACCAGTCTCATTGGTATCGTTTGGGGTTTGGGGTGGGCCGATGTGAGCACCACCTTACAGCTGTCGAAGTGCATTTGCGCTCCGACCGCCGCCTGCCACGGAATGCCTAGCAGAACATCATACGCCTGTACATCCAGCACAATCACGTCACACAAACAATGCACCCGCCCCACACGTATGGGCACGTTCGTTATTCGCCCCTTACAATGAATACTATCTTCCGTAGCGGATATATACAGTTCATCCGGTCGGAGGGGTTGAACCTGTCCTTCCTTCCCAACTGTTTCGTTAATCTCCAAGAGATGGCGGCCGTCGATGATCCCGAGTCTAGGATGGTGGCCGAGGGGTTTCCCCAGACCTCACAATCACACTCTACGCTTTTCCAGGTTATAGGATAGGCCCGGAGGAATACCTCGGGTTTTTCCAAGGCGGAATCTACGGTCTGTATCATCCCTATCCGGTTGGCTTCGTGCACCTCTGAGGTCGAGGGTTGTGGTTCCTCGTTGGCGGGTGGGTCCCGTAGGACCGGTTTTTTGCCCTTTCGACTCTCCTCGAACCGGCGCCTGTTTTTGAGGCACCGTTCGATCAATTTTTCGTTAGCCGCTTCAGAAATGGTTAGCAGATACGGAATAGGGACGGGGATCCGAAGATCCAGAGCCTTCAAGACCTCCAATACGTCGATATGGCCATCCTTGTATTCAGGACCGGGTACCGTAAGATCTTCGAACCCTGGTCGCCACGGCCCAAGGTCGCTTTCCTCGGTAATCCGTTGGACGTGACGTATCAATCCAATGGTCCCGGGTTCGAACATCGCTGCCGCCATATACTCATCGGGTCCTATCTCAATGGCCGCAGGGGTCACCATCTCCGTCGCTCCTGTGTCCATTACCGTGGCTACCCTCCACTGTCCGGCAGCGGTGGGAGCAGCCAGTGGGATTTGGGAAGGTCCGGCGGGCCCGCCCTGAGTTCGGGGTTTCGAAAAATCTTTCGCAAGGTGGCCTGGCTGGTTACAGTTATAACAGCATAGGGGTGGGACAGCCCCGGCCACAGCCGGTCTTATCATAGGGGCTCCGGCAGCCATAGCCACCTGTTGTCGTTGTGCGGCGGCTATGCGTTGTCGTTGCAGACCTTGCACAAACTCCGTCAACGGGGCTACTACCGTAACTAGTTGGGCCGCGACCTCTTTCATGGATGCTTCTTCCTCGCCCCAGCCTCCTTGTGTTTGACTAGGGCGACGGGAGGCCAAAGCAGAGGAGGAAGCTTTCCGATCCGAGCCTTTTTTTGTCGGGCCCAACCTGAAGCGATCTTCAAACATACGTGCCGTAGCGGAGTAGCTATTGCGTCGAACGCCCGATGGGTCATCTTCGTCGGATTCAGAGTCCAGGCCCACATCGTAATTTTCCTTCCCGTACTTAATTGCGTACTGAATTAGCTCCGTCAGGGTATGTTCTATAGGGTTGCATTTCTTGCAGATCTTCTTCCACAGACGAGAGTCCGACAGTCGTCTGACGAAATCAGTCCGTACCATTTTCTCATCCACCCCGGAGCGTTCGGCTAGGTACGTAAAACGTTCAGCATATCTAGCCAAGTTCTCCCGGGGCTGTTGTGTGTATTCCTTGATTAAACGGAGGCATTGACCTGGTGCAATGTGATCAAATCTATCAAGAAATTTCCTCTGGAAGGCTGCCCAATTAGTGAAGGAGTTTTGTCCGTACCACTCAAAAGCGGTTCCGGCTAACCTTCTGGGAATTCGTTCTCGGAGCAACTGGTCCGACCAGCCCTGGGCTTTCAAGGCAGCTAGCAAGGTGCGAGGATCGGTGTCATCTTCAGAAAAAATGGGAACTTCGGAGGGAGGAGGTACAAAGTACAGGGGATGATTAGCCATCCCTGCGTGGTTGTCGCCGTCGTTCGCTCCGATTCTGGGTTCCACCATCGCGGGAGGCGGGTCTCGAGCCCGGCCCCTCGCTCGGTTCTGATTGCTATTCGCGGGCGTCCGTCGACGGGGAGCCAGCCTACTCAAAAATATGAAAATTCTAGTAAAAAGATAAAAAGGAAAAAGGGGAAACTTTAAAACAGGGCAATCGTCTTAGGAAAACCTCGGAGCCGAAACAAATCAGCTCTGATACCAACCTCACGCCCCTTGCAGCTTCCCGTACGGGGTCGCCGATCAAAGTTCTAGGAGGGGCGTGGCCGAGGATTTTTGGCCGTAAGGGTTGAGTCTCCCGGACGGAACGGGAGGCTCTCGTTTCGTGGCCGAGGTTTTTCTCGGAGTCGAACTATCGCCGCGGAGTCGTGTGGGGGTCGAATCACTCCGAAACGCTAAAATCAAAAAGGTTTCCGCAAAAATGAACTGCCGCCATGCATCGGGACGGAGAAAGGCATCGAGGGGAGGGGGCCATGGCGGCGGAAGACAAANTTCCGCAAAAATGAACTGCCGCCATGCATCGGGACGGAGAAAGGCATCGAGGGGAGGGGGCCATGGCGGCGGAAGACAAAACTTCGATCGTCAGGGGTTTGGGGGATAGGTGGGGGGTTCGAAGCCTTCAGGCCTCATCATCGACTTCACAAAGTGTCTGACCCCTCGGGTCTTTGTTGTGGAGGTGGGTGGATCGAGGCCTTCAGGCCTCGGCGTCGGACTCACCGAGTCCGCGCGAAAGTTTCTGGGAGGGTAAAGCGGCGGGAGGACTCGCTGGCATCTGAATTCGAAATTGCGCGGGCAGCGCCCCCGCGCTACGGGAAAGCTCGGGGAAACGCGTCGCTCCCTCGTAACCCAGGACCAGCCGTCGCCACGAACACGAGTCCCCCTGGCGACACCAGCGACAATCAAACTGCGGTCGCCACACGTCGTGAGCGGTCGACCAGGGCAGCACCGTTAAACCCGTCTAAGGCAATATCAGAGTCGGGGAATCAAAGCGATCAATCAACACAAGCCCGTTCCCTCTTATCTCACAGGCCCGCGGCGGGTCTTGCCAACACACTTGCTCCGTCCGCCTCAGCGCGCGTCGTACGTCCGCATCGCAGTAGACGTTATCGTCATCTGTGATGGGGAAGGTCGGTAGCGAAATGAGACGATTGGAGGTACGTGATGAACACGCGCAAGATCCCGCGTTCCTGGTCATCCGAGCCAACACCGAATCCATACAACAATCGTCGCAACTTTTCTCTCTCAAAAAGGGGGGTGCGTAGGGGGAAGATGACGAAAGCTAAGCTTTCTCCCCTTGGCGGGGGCTTCGACCGCCCTCGCGGACGCAGGCGGCTGACGTCACCGGTACGGGGACGATAAGCTCTAAAAATGATGACTGTCAGTTATGAGGAAGGCGATCGAGGAAGGGAAGGAGGGAGAGAGAGAGTGAGAGTGAATTACGCCGGGACCACGCAAGAGCGCAGAAAAGACTGTGAAGGGGAGGGGAACAACCGGATCAACACACTCATACTCCTAAGCAGACGGTCCCCCAGTTCAGTTTCCCCATCCCCGCCCGGACGAGTACATACACACATACATGCACGCAATCAGCAACACTTGACAGGACATCTAATCATCCATGGACCTTCGACGTCACTCATGCGCAGAACCAGCTCCCATCACTCGGGGCTTCAAGCACACGACATACATAGRCAAAGCAGCAATGGAGATAAAAGCGAGTCCTTCTCGTACACAAAARTTTCAAKTAACTGCCGCCCCCWRGCGCGGCCTTCAAAARTTCCCCAAGACCACCGACCACCATAGCCAC